ATCATAATCCTAAAGTCATCTGAACCCTCCTGCACTATTTCTAGTTAGTCTTTGCTTTCAGAGTATTCTTTCCCATTTTTTAAAATTTATATTGTGTAACTCTCGGTTGGATTTAGACCCATTTCTCCTCTACTGTCCTCTTGTACGTTGGATAACGTCTGGCCACTGGCTTTCCAGCGATCATGTTTTAAAACCTCTGCAAAGGTAAAGACTATAGTTCTGCACATTGATGTTGCATAAGGAGTTGGCCCCCAAAGGGACCACTTCAGAGAGGTGGAAGCCGCAGCTTCGTAACACCTGGATGTCAGGGCCAGCTCTGCTTCTCACTCGCTTGGGCAAAACAAAACAAAAGATTTTAAATTGAAGATCAAAGTCCATAGTCTGTCTATCCCACTGGGCTGTTGAGAGGTCATTGGAGATAATGAAGCAGCTTTGCAAATTATAAAGCACAGTGCGGAAAGATGCTACATGGTGCCTCAAACAATCTTAATTTTTCTTATAGGTTCTAGAACCTCGTTTTAATGTAGAAACAATGGCTCAGTTATTGAACATCCCACCAAGTAAGACCCTGTTGCGAAGACACTTGGCCACTCATTTCAACCTTCTGGTCGGAGCTGAGGCCCAACACCAGAAGCGTGATGCCATGGAGTTGCCAGATTATGTGCTTTTAACAGCTACTGCCAAAGTGAAGGTTGGTTCAAGCTCATCCCGTTGATGAAGCAGAGGCTTGGTTTTGGACTGTTACCTGGCTGTCCCATTTTCTGAGGTTTACTAAGTGTTGTGGATGGGTTGAAGGTAAATGCATCTTTAAGGTAATGAGGAAAATGCATTTTTGAAGGTTTCCTTCTGGGGGAATCTTCACTCAAATCGTTTATTTGATTAGCGTTAACAGTAGTAAACAGCATGACGTTGGCTTCTACGGTTGATGTACTGCCGATGCAGAAGGCCCACGACTTGGGCCCACTTTGATTGCAATTATCCTACAGATAAATCAAGCATAAGGAGGATTTCTTCTCGTAATTAACCACCTTGCAAATTACGAAAAGATATTTAAGAAATGATTCAAGGTAGACCAGCAGAGAGTGGATATTTCCAGATCTACCTAGAATTTGGATCATACCAAATTCAGATCACGTTTTCTTCTTTAAGTCATTCCTTGGTGAGCTCTCTGACTCTGTTATCTCAACTAACTTAATGGGGAGGTAGAGTTTCTTGGCTCCTCCACTAAAACGTACAAAGTTTTTTTTTTTTTTTAACCCTCTCTACCTGCCTGACACTTTCTCTTTAGCTCCCTTTCTCCCTTAAAAGATGTGCCAGGTTTGAAACCTCTGGGAGATTCTGTTCTTAAATTCTCAGCATCAGCCCGATGGCTATCTCCCTGACATTTGGTCTCAGGGACTATCCAGTGACTAAGATGGAGCTGCTCTTCCGTCACTGGAAGTTCTCTCTTCAAAAGAGGGGAATTCTTTTAGCACTAAGTCACCAGCCCTGCTGTGGGAGCATAACGGGAATGCAAGGCAATCATAGCCTCACCCAAAAAGAAAGTATTGTAAAGGCCATTTTCTGCCCATCTTAGCTTGGAAAACCTTGCAAAATCGGACTCAGCCCTGAGACATCTCATTGCGTTAAGTTCTGTTTATCAAAACTAAGGCTCTTGGCATACTTTGCTATTCACAGTGACTCCTCAGCTAGTTGGTTTGAATAAGGAGAACAAGACTGATCTTCTGAGATTCATAATAAGGATGATTTATCGTATTTGGATACATCGTTCACGTGCCTCAGATGCCTTTGTTTTTGTTACACCCGTTTAATTATCCAATCGCTCTTCTCTACAGATAGTGTCAATAATTAAATTATACATGTTATTGGTTGGTTGTCATACGAATTTTATCAAGTCCTTGCACATTTGTGTTTGCTTTTCTTTTAAAAGCCAAAGAAACTCACCTTCAGCAATTTTGGGAATCTGAGAAAGAAGAAACAGGAAGATGGGGAAGAGTATGTTTGCCCAATGGAACTGGGACAGGCATCAGGAGGTACCAAGAAAGGATTTAAGCCAGGTCTGGACATGCGCCTGTATGACGAGGATGACCTGGACCGGTTGGAGCAGGTAAACGTAGCACTGTGTGCCTCTTTTCAAGTTCTTCCAAGACTGAAGCACTAAATGAAAACTTTGTGCCTTACGGCTACTAACCAAAGAAATTTTCTTCAAGTACCTAAGACTAGAGGTAATAATAAGGTAATAACTATGAGCACTGACAGATGGCTCACTCCATTCCAGGCACTACCCTAAGCACTTAACATACGGAAACGTTCAGGGTAATCCTAAAACACAGGGAGTATTGTTAGCGTCATTTCAGAGATAAGGAAACTGAGGCACCAGATGGTTAGGTAACTTACCCAAGATAGAAGAGCTGGTAAGATGGCTGGGATTCCAACCTGCCAGGCTGGCTTCACAGCATGTGCTCTTTACCTGTGTCTCGGTATGAAATGTATGTATAAAACAAGGCAGGCGTGGACAGCTCATACTGCTTAGCCTTTTCAGTATGAGATCACAGAGCATTGCCTTCCCATTAACAATCCTTTGGTGCCATTGGCAATGTCCGAGCGTGAGGTCAGATGTGCCGGCAAAGTGTCTGCTCTCATTTTTAACGTCCAGTTGCAGCAGGGAGAGGAGATGCCACCAGAAGTGTTCTGTTGCTCCCACTCCGTTCAGTGCCCACTTGCATGATTTCTTCTGTGAGACTCATGTTCATTTCGCCGTCCCTTCCTTGAAATTATGCAAATGGGGATGTCATGTCATGGTACGTTCATTGCAGATGGAAGATTCAGAAGGGACAGTGAGGCAGATAGGTGCGTTCTCCGAAGGCATCAACAATCTAACTGTAAGTTGTAAAACGAACTGAAAACGCCTTTGAAAATGACCCCAAAGGACCGCGTGTGTGGTGGAGGGTGCGAGGCGCTGAGGTCTGCTTCTCGGTGTGTGTGACCCCGTCTCCTTGTCTTCCAGCACATGTTAAAGGAAGACGACATGTTTAAAGATTTCGCCGCCCGCTCCCCCAGCGCCAGCATTACCGACGAAGACTCCAACGTCTGACCGCGGCGCCTGGACCAGCGCCGGGAGCCCCGCATCCTTCTTCGGCTTTATTTCTCAAACCCTCACGGGATCCGCAACAAGCAACAGATTGCATATCGTTCATTTATGGTTCCAACGTCTCCTTTAGAAGTGGAAACGAAATGCAGGGGCTAGATGCCTATTCTAAAGTTGCCACGAAAACTGAGACACTGGTGAATGAGAGTGTAATTGTTCTTCCTCTATTTAATGTAAAAATCTGTGATATATTCTATTTAAAGTGATGCGTTTGATGAATACTTTATCCTAGTGTTTCCATTCGCGTTAACAGTGTAGAGGGTTTGGGAGGTAGCAACCAGCATGTGAATGGTTTTGTCACGTCAGTGTGCCAGCACTGCCACCGTGGAAGCAGGACACTATATGCTCACAAAGTCAACATGTGCAATTTCTGTCAGCTTTCAGTGTGCCCGCTAAATGCCAGCCACGCCTCCACTGGCCTCTTAGTGCCCTGTTTTTATATATTTTTCTAAATATGTGTATATACTTCGTACATAGAAAATGGAACTTTTATTTTGTGACATAAAGAAGATGGGGAAAAGATCACATTAAAAACAGCCAGTGATCAAAGTCTTCATATACCAGCCAGTTCCTGGGGAGGTCAGGATGATCTTTCTTTGTCCACAAGGGAATTTTAATGATGTTGATCATTCAGACCCAGTTAGTGTATATGAAATACCCCTTCTTTGATGACACATCGCAAAATTGTTGAATACCTTTGTAAGAATTTCAGTCTTAATCTTGGATCTTGTTACCTCCTAAGGAAGAACTTGAGGGACATTTAAATACCACTAACTTGAATGCATTCAGAAACGCCCCACAAATTTGTAGAAATAATTTCCAAAGAAACCACACCAAAACAAAAGCCTTTACAGTATTAAGCTTCTTAGTTTTCTCTTTGCTAATGATCTCATTACATCGAAATACTAACAGTCTGCCTGACGTTATTAATATGTGCCCATTTCTCAGGCTCTCAGCAAATGGGATTTTTTTTTTCTAAGCTGAATATTTGTCTCCATCAGAGTTCAGTAACTCTGAGGCTGCAAAGCTAGTTTCACAATGGCTATAACGTGATACTAAAATGAAGTTTATGGCTTTCTGTAGCACGGGGCCCAAATATTCTTTATGAAGAAAATAGAAAAACCCCAACAAAAAAAAAGTTACTGTTTATTGTTTTCTAGAGGTATTAGAAAATATATTCTGTTTTTTAATTCAGTACCACGTCATTACTCATGATAGCCAATGGAGGTAAAGACAGGTTTTCACAAAGTGGCAGAGAGGTGGGCAGCTCCGTATATGCAGGGGACTTACTTCATAAACTGTATTTGAGTGTTGGTGGTATGATCTTTCAAGTCAGCAGCAAGTTATGAAGCTTTGCATCAAGGAACCTGTGATACTAAATTACTATTTATTCCTAACTAAAATGATTTGATGCCAATAATAAACCTTTGCTCCCTACCATTCATTATTTGGTAACTGTATCGGACTCATACTGTATTTGTGTTTTATTTTAATGTGAATATATGTCACCATTTGAAAAATGATTTGTTACTCGAACCTGGTTAAAAGCACCAGGAGACTTATAGATGCCAAACATCCTTTATTCAGGACATTGTAACATCACTGATGATGTGTGATAAGGTTAAGTTTTTTTGATGATATATATTTTATTTACAAAATATTATACACTGTTGGTATTACCGTATGAAAAGGAATAAAGTCAATTGATAACTGCCACTTTTTTTTTTTTGTCTGTTACCTTATTTTCCTTTGCTTGGAATAGCCAGTAGGCTTTATTTCTGATCTAGAGAATAAGAACACCCACTCTTTACAATTCACAAACCCTCATAAATTTGTTTAAGTGGGGCTCATACATGTATCAACAGATAGAAATTTTTTAATTTTTAGTTTTTTTTAGGGGGGAAGGTAATTAGGTTTGTTTATTTAACAGAGATATTGAGGATTGAACCCGGGACCTTGTGCATGCAAAGCTCACACTCTTACCACTGAGCTGTGCCCTCGCCCAACAGAGCCTTTGCTTGAGAAACTTTTGTATGAAAGGAACCACAGGCAGCTGAGTTGGGAGATAAGGAATCTTGGCATTGGGGTGTCGGAAAAGCAAAGGGAAATGACGTGCCTACTGATTGGAAGAAGTGAGTTGTAGAAAGAAGTAGTTAATTATGTCTGACTCTTTAAAGAACTAAATGTTATTTTGAATTAAACTAAAATTTGAAAAGAGGAAACAGGTCTTGGAAGAGGTTACCAAATATTAACAGTAGAGTGACTATAACTAGGGAACAGATGGTTTTTGTGAAAGTTAGTATCTTTAATTTAATAAACCAGCAGGAATCTACAAGGACAACACACCCAGTTGGCAAACAGCAAGACCTCACATGTTTGTTTAGCTGTGTGTATATATATGTGCTTACCTGTAGAGACAGAAAACCGGGACCGCGGTGACAGATGGGATTTCACTGCAAAAAATTACGCTAAAACAGGAGTCATTCTGCACGAGGTTCACATGGTTGAATTTTGGAAGTAGTGTTGAGTGGGTGCAGAGAAAATGGGGCAAAAACCATCGCAACAGATGACTCTGAAGGACAGTGAAGAGGTTCTCAGCATCTGTGAGCTGGTCAGTGGAGCTATAGTCCATGCAGCTCAGAAACTGAAGGAGTATCTTGGATTTGAAGACACCCTGGGCAATCTCTGCCCAGCTCCAAACACTCTCAATGAGATCTTCTTAATCCACTTTGTCACTTTCTGCCAAGAAAAAGGAGTTGACGAGTGGCTCACCACCACCAAGATGACCAAGCACCAAGCCTCACTGTTTGGGGCAGACTGGATTTGGACTTTCTGGGGACCCGATAAGCAAATAAGGCTTCAGCTGGCAGTACAGACTCTGCAGATGTCTTCCCTTCCCCGGGTGGAATCTAACCCAGAATCCAGGGCAGAGGCGTCTTCCAGCAAGAGGAGTAGGTTTGAGAAGCTGGAAGAATTCTGTAACTTGATAGGAGAGGACTGTCTGGGCCTGTTTATCATCTTCGGCGTGCCAGGAAAGCCTAAAGACATCAGGGGAGTTGTCCTGGACAGTGTCAAAGGTGAGACAGTGAGTCTGAGAGGAGGGATGGCTGTGGCACAATTCGTCCTGGAAACTGAAGATTGTGTCTCCATCAGGGAGCTGCTTGGAAACTGTCTGAGTAAGAAAGACGGGCTGAGAGAGGTGGGCAGGGTTTATATTAGCATCCTCTGAACTGGAGATGTGTGATAAGACTGACCTGGCCTGTAAGATGAAAACAAAAAAATATTCACCCCCTTGCATCATTTCTTAAGGGGTTTTTCTTTCCTTCCCCAACTCCCTAACTCCATTGAATGAAAACCATCACCTGGGTCAAAACAGATGATTATGGACAGGAGAAAAAAAAAACCTTCCTGTATCTCAGGGAAAATTTAATAATTTAGCTTAATTTTTGATTCAACAATAAAAGTGGAGAGTATAATAAAGTCACCTTTAAAGTTTGATTTGGAAAAAAAATCTGAAGTCTAGCATTTGAAAATGTAAAGTGTGTTTTTACTGCTGTGTGTGGTGGGGGGGCAGGTAGGGAAAAGTGGTGCATAAGACGGATTTAATGACATTGACAAAACCGCTTTAGCTCAGGACTCCCAGGCAAAACCTGGTATGGCTCTCTTCCTCCAATCCCTGCCCTGACCCCCACCTCATCCCAAGCTGCTTCCTCTGCAGAGAGGACCTTGGTGGGATGCCCTTTGGTACTCACTCGAGTGTTAGCCTTACCTATGATTTAAACACAGAAACCCATATAACAGTCCTTCGTAATAACGATGAACATGTCTTTAGCATTTGCAGTAAGGAAAGTATTCATGTATAAAAATCATCTTTACTTTAAAAGCCTGGGTGGCTGTAACAGTACTGTAGGGGAAGAAAAATAATTTTTCCTCTAGGCTTCTAGCGGGTAGAAGCAAAAAGTTGCTTTAAAGTGTAAATGGAAGATGGATTCATTCACACGTGATTGTTAAATGCCTATGACTTGCGCGGCTCTGTCTATGCCCAGCCAGTCCAGCAGTGAAAAGAACAAAGTCCCCACCCTCAGGGAGTTTCTCTCTCAAAGGTGGAAGATAGACAATAAACAAATATATGCAAATATGTTTTAAATGCATATTTACATAAATGTCAGGGGTGCTGTAAAGAAAGATTAAGCAATGGGTGAGGGAGTAGAGAGTGAAGGAGATACAATTTTATATGGTGGTAAAGGAAGGGCCTCAGAGATCTGAATAGAGAAAGAGCATCCTTGCAGGTATCTGGGAAAGAGTGTTCTAGGCAAAGGGGACTGCAGATGCAGTGGGAATGCACAGGGGGCTGTGTGGATGGAGCAGAGTGAGCCAGGAGGAGACGGACAGGCGATGGTTCAGAGACGTAGCCAGCAAGCAGGAGCAGCAGATCCTACCGGTGAGGACTTCAGTCTGAATGATACGGGGAGAGAAGTGCCTTGATCTGACTTAGAATTTAAAAAGTTAAGGAAAGCAATTTTTTTTAATTTAACTATAGTCAGTTTACAATATTGTGTTAATTTCTGGTATACAGCACAGTGATTCAGTTATATACATTCCTTTCCATATTCTTTTTCCTCATAGGCTATTGTAAGATATTGAATATAGCTCCCTATGCTATAGTAGGATCTTGCTGTTTATCTGTTTTATATATGGTAGTATCTCCAAACCCCAAACTCCCAATTTCTTTCTCCACCCTTCCCTTTCCCAGCTGGTAACCACAATATTTTTTTCATGCCTGCAAGTCTCTTTCTGTTTTGTAAATAAGTTCATTTGTGTCATTTTTTTTTTAGATTCCACATATAAGTGATACCATATGGTATTTTTCTTTCTCTGTCTGACTTCACTTAGTATGACAATCTCCAGGTCCATCCATGTTGCTGCAAATGGCATTATTTTATTATTTTTTATGGCTGAGTAGTATTCCATTATATATATATATGATATATATTATATATATATCCTATCTTTATCCATTCATCTGTTGATGGGCATTTAGGTTGCTTCCATGTCTTGGCCACTGTAAATAATGCTGCTGTGAACATTGGGGTGCATGGATTTTTTCAAATTAGAGTTAAGGAAAGCATATTAGCCCTCTCCCTTCAGTAAGCAGACAAAAATAGGCCCAAGAGGCATCTCTCGAAGTTGGTAAGCAATAATTATTCCTACTTGGAATGTGCCTGGAGCTTACAGTTCTCAGTCAATTTATGTTTCCTTGCGAAACAGTGCCCCCCCCCCCCGTCTGCAGCAGTGCTGTGTGGAGTGGGCTATCAAGGGGGTGGGGTAACAGAGTCAAAAGAGTCTTCAGCTTGGAGTCATACGTGAGTTTGAGTCTCAATTCTCTTAGGAGCAGAGTCTAGTGGTTTAACTCTTGTTTTCTTACTTGTAAAATGGGAATGACTTCAACTAATTCAAAGGAGATAATGTATGTTACATTTTTCTATACTGAAAGTATAAGCTTCCCCAAATTTTGAAGAGTCTGGTACAAACTGTAAGTATTTACAAACAGCTGGAAGCTATAAATCAAACACTCACCATGTTCTTTTTAAATGAAAATAAAAACGTGAAACTTTCGATTTAAAAAATATTGTATTCTTGTGTTGTTTTTAATCTGCATTTTGGTCTAAAAATTTAAGTATAAAAATATAGAAAGTTAAATCTTCAGAAGTCTCACCCCTGCCCCCATACCAGTTTACAGTTCACCCTTCCAGAGTGTGTATTGCACATTAAAAACACTTTACACATATGGAATCCTATGATCTATAAATGCCTTATGATCTACATTTTAGGAAAACAACTCCATATTGTAGACAATTTTCCACACTAATAATACATTTATATCCACTTCATCTGCTTTAAGGCTGACATCAGTGGTTCTCAATCCTGCCTGCATCTTAGATTTACTTGGGAAACTCAAAACAAAAATATCAAGGCTATAAATATACGCAGACCAACTGATCCACATCTCAGAAGGAGGGGACCCACACAAATTTTTTTTAACCTCCTAATGTGAGTCTAATGTTCAACCAGGATTAAGATATGTGCCTAGGTAGCACTACACTGTATGTACATAGCATAATATATTTATACTGTTTTGGTGGATATTTGAGTTGCAGGGTCCATCCATATACCTAGATATTTGCATACTGTCTATTTTGCCATGTTTGTGAATAGACATGGTTCATTCACTCACTTTTTTATAAGTGCATATTTACTTGTTTTTGAGTTTATTTTTTCCAGTGTTATTGAAACATAATTGACATGCATTACTGTATAAGTTTAAGGTGTACAGCATAATGATTTTACTTACACATGTTATGAAATAATTACAGCGATAAATTTAGTTAACATCCATCATCTCCTACAGATACAAAAAAAAAGGAAAAAAATTCTAAGGGATGAGAACACTTGGGATCTACTCTCTTAGAAAGTTTCAAATATACACACAGCAGAATGAACTGTAGTTATGTTGTACATTACATCATTAATATTTTTAATCTTATAACGAAGTTTGGCTCACTCTTCTTATAAAGAAGTTAGTTTTGATTAAAAATAGCTCTCTGACAAAGTCATTGGATTAATGCAGGTTTCAAATATAGTAAAAATCCATCATTAAAAATCGTGATATTTAACACTGTTCTGCACAGGACTGACTATATAATTTGTGGGGCTCAGTGCAAACTGAAAATGTGGAGTCCTTTGTTAAAAAAGTTATTAAAAATTTCAAGACAGGGACAGTGGAGCATTAAGTCAAGCGCAGGGCTCTTCTAAATAGAAGTCACAAGCCTGTGAAAGTAGCGTGGCTTCTACAGCATTTTCGGTTATTTGCTCATCAAGGCTGAAGAAAAGATTTTTATCATGAGTGCGTGATTGCACCTCTAAGATCTTTTCCAACTGAAAAATTATGTAATTCATAGCAACTCCTACGTACATCATTGTACATTCTTTACTCGCTACACTGCAGGAAACATTTCATTATTGCCTGGTGATGGCATTACACAAGATTTTTAACTTTTAATATAGAATGAACTTTATAGTACTTGATGCCTAGGAAAACAAGAAGCATTTTTCTGGCTCCTTTAATTCTAGTCTTAGCAATTGACTTCAGTCTTAGGGAGAGGGTAAAACAAAAGATAGAAAGCATAGGCAGTTAGAAGGAGGAACAAAATCTCTTAACATCTTGCTCAGAAATGGAGAAGTCTCTGGATATGAACTAATTCTATTAGGATTCATACTTATTTGTCCCTAAATTTCTGTGGGATAGGACTTCTACTTTATCCTACTAAAACACACAAAATCAAGAGAGGAAAAGTGGCTGTTGCATTGACCCTAAGCTTAATTCCAATGGCCACCTTTTATGTTATCCCATCTGAAACACAACTCACATAATCACAATGGTCCTCATGAAGATATCGTTTCCATTTTTCTTTGAAACTGAAGCTCAGAGAGGTTAGGTGGACTTGCCCAAGATCACAAACAAAGCCTGGATTCAAATCCCACATCCATCTGACTTAAAGGCTATGCTTTTAATCTTAAAAATAGAGGAGAGGGGAGAACACTATGTGAAGACAGAAGTAGAGATTGGAGTGGTGTGTCTACAAGTCAAGGGATGCCAAAAATTGCCAGCAACCATCAGACACTAGGAGAGAAGCATAAACAGATTTCTCCCGCAGAACCTCCGAAATGAACCATCACTTGCCAACACCTGGATTTTGGATTCCTAGCTTTCAGACCTGCGAGAGAATAAACTGCTGTTTTAAGACACCCGGTTTGTGTTACTTTGTTACAACAGTCCTAGGAAACCAGTGCACCTAATACTCCACACTCCTGCTTTGGAGCAATAATGGGACGGTAAAAGGCCAGAAAAGATGAGGATGGTGATTATTACAAACACGTGTCCTTATCATGCTATAAAATACTTTTTAAAAAAGTGAGTATCTACTCTTTACAAAGACACTAATCTAGTGGAAGATTATGTTGGCATTTGGAAAAGAAATCATGTGATCTAATTTGTTGTACCCACTGATTGATGCCCGTGGCACATGGGAAGTTCACAGGTAGGACACTCTGGGACACCTGCATACCTCTGCTCTACTTTGGTATGCTTACCAAGAGTCACTTGCGTTTGTTCCCAGTTGTTCTTGTCATTAAAATGTTTAACTTTTGAGTATTATACACTGATTGAAAAAAAACAGGATAATTTTATTAAGGGTTGTATGTTAATTCATCCTAGGGTAGAAAATAAGAGTTCATTAAAAGATGACCATTATTTTCTAGGTCCTGATGAGTTCTGACTTTTGTAATTCTAACCTGATCTACAAACAAGCTAACCAAATCATTGATGATGCGCATAGCTTATGCGCACAGGGTGCTCAGTTTTGCCAATATTGCAGCCAGACGTTTGTCTCTATTAACTTTGACTGATTTAGGATCACACAGCCCAGAGATGGTGAAACTCAAGTGCCAGACTGACTCAAGATGCCATCCTTTCGACTACTATTGGATGCTGCCTCTCCCCTCAGAGTATATCCCTCGCATTAGGTGAAGGCTTTCTTTCATTCGAGAAAGTGCAGAAAAGAAGCAGGACCTTAGGGTAGACTGCCTGATTCCTGGGCCATCTGAGGATCCACCCTCACCGGCCGTCTGTAAGTCACATTTCCCCCATCCCTTATGGTCCTTATTTGCAATTGTCTTTAGACTGACTGCTTCGATTTAAAAAAACAAAAAAACAAAAAACAAACTTTTTGTTTTCTTTTCGTTAGTTTTTCTGTGGGCGGGTGGTGTTCCCTTGCACGGCGGACGCGCACGCGCCGACCTCGCCGGCCCGCGTCTCCTGTCCCTCCCTCCCAGGGGCGGGGCGCGACGCGCGAGCCTGCGCAGTAGGGCCTCGGGCCCGCGCCGTGA